GTTTGTAAGTCAAATGTTTGTAACTCATGGACGGCCTCTATTACAACCCTTGCAATACCCCACCAGTGTAACCACCTGGAAGTAGCTTTGCCAAGTCCATCCCCCTCCCCCACTTTTCATGAAATCATGGGGATGGTGGAAATAGCAAAGGCTGCTTGAAAAGCAAACTCAGTCATGGTATATAATCTGAGTCCTGTATAGTTGGTGACATTTACCATCCTCCAGTCTCTTCATTATCGTGAAATACAGAATGCTATCTGTTATAGTATGGCATTCTCAAAAATGTGCATATCTTCAGCTGAACTATGTAAACAAATCAAAGTTTATAGTTAAAAAAACTATGTTGACATCTTTCTGTATAAAGAGTTTTCTGATCAATATGTCCTCGGTATATAGTGCATTTCACAGTTGGTTTTCATGGTGCTACGATTTGTTAAGTTCCCAGCTATGAGAACATTTTAAAATGCAGTCTCCTGTAGCAGCAAGGAAACACTCCTGGAATCTGATGCTTTCAGGAATAATTCATGGCTGTTAAGGAAACTAGCGTTACAATGAAAGACAGCTTGTTGAAACAGAACAAAATGTGCTGGGCTCTTTTAATCCTGGTAGAGCTTTCTGAGGAGCTAACTTGAAGTTCCTTTTACTTTAAATAGAATGTCAAGAAATTTTATTAGCCATTCCATAAATTCCTGCAATTGTCCTTTTCTTTACCATTTACTTTGTTCTGCCCTGCAGGTTTTCTTAAAAGGTTCTATTTTTTTTTCAAGGAAAATATATCTTCATGATATGTTTGCTATAGTTAGATTTTTTTAAATAAAAAATGTCAGCATTTAATGTCAGCATTTCACATTATAATATCACTGTAGAAGACAAAATGCCAGGGCACTGTTCATCTCAATATATCTTATTTTCAACCCTTACCTCCTTTGGGCACTGGAACAACCCAAATCAGCCCCCACAAAACAGGTTTTTGGAGTATTGAGGCTATACCCCTTCCTACATTGAGTTTTGCATTAGTTATAACTCGATCATGGGATACAACCTAATTAGTGGAAATGAACATCCCAAAATTGTTTTTAAAGTATACCTCTTTTCCCAATTCCAACTTGATGGCAGTTATCCTTGATAAAAGTAAGTGGAACACAACTGCAGGAACTAGATTCTATTGATTTTCTGCCCAAGATTTGAGATCTCCCGAAGGGACCTTCTTCTGTGCACATCAGTCAGTGCAATTAGACTATCAGAGGAGATAGGAGAAGACCTTTCCTGCCGTTATGGAATATTCTCTCTATTCTGATTGGCACCAATGCTATTGTCATTCTGACACTAAACAAAAACGTGACTGTTTACAACAGCTTTGGGTGCATGATAGATTTCATACACATTTGCACATGAATTGCCTTAAATTGTTTTGTTTTAAGTGTTAAACATGCTTTGATATGCTTTAAGTCTTTAATTCACTTTTTATTCTTGTTTTAAATGTTTGAATTTGTTTTATTTTAAGCCACCCTAAAATCCACAGCTATAGGGAAGAGTTTCAATTGCTCCCATTACAAACTCTCTGAAATCAATGAGATTTAAATGAATGGGAATTCTGCATAGACTCTACTGCAAAATTCCAGGGGAAAGGAGGCAATGAAGGTTCATCTTGCCCAAGCTTCTATTTATCCTAGGGATTGTGTGGTTTTCATAACTGGCTTTAATGTTTACATGTTTTTTAACTTCATGGTTTTAATGCATATGTTTATTTTATTTGTATGTCTATGCGGCATTAAATTGTTGCCTACTTGTAAGCCACTCTCACCTTCGGGGTGAGAGAGGGAGGAGCATAAATATAGTAAATAAATGGTCCTGCTCATGGGGACCATCATCTTGCAACTTGAAAATTGAAATGTGGAGGCTATAGGGAAAACCTCACCCATGAGATCTTGGAGGACCACAATCCATTGGCATGTGCCCCACTTTTAAAATTTGGTAACTTTCTAAAAATGCAGGTGGGTTCTGTGTAACTGTATAGGCCACAAAGTGGCTTTGAGGGTGTGTAAGGCCCCTGTTCCAGACCAAGTACTAAAGCTGCAAAGGTAGCTGTGGTTGCTATTTCTATTTGTTCTCACCTTAGACCTACTGTTCACTTCTCTATGTGTGTCATACATGCATCTGGCAGGACAGATGTGGAGGGAAGCAGAGCTGTGTTTGTTATTCCTTTTACTGTAGGGGAAGATTCATTTTACTGGTGTTCAGTTTATACAATGACTACCCAAGGAATTAACTATCAGAATCTGTATTAAACTCAATTCATACTCCCTAGGTTAATGAACAACTTTAAAAGTGTTTATAACATTTTATAAAGTAATTTGTTCTTCACCATTTGTACTAATAGATTGATAGATCTACTCGTGCCTTTAATACCATGTTGCTTACTTCATCACTATATGCAGCAAACACCAGTCTTTAAAGGCAGATTACCATCCTTAGATAGCATTGCTCTGCCTCTGGTTTATTTTCTACTTCATGTCTTGCTTCCTGTTTGTTTGTGTATTTGTTTCTGTTTCGAATGCCATGGAGCGTCAAGTCCCCAAACGGAATACCACAGATGCTGGAATACTTCCAGCTTCCTGGATTAATGTATTTATAATTTGCTTTCAGTGCATGTTAAGTATCTGGCAGGCTCAATTTGGGGCCTGATTCAGCATTCCTTGTACTCAGTGATTTTCTCCTGCCTTGATCCAACTGCTTCAAGATCAGTCATTCTTTACATTGCCAGTAGGAAACACTGCATCTGTCTAACCAAATTCACAATGCAACATTAGCACTGGAAATAAAAATGCTCACCTTGTAAAAACCTTCTTATGTATGCATGGTACTTTACAAAAGCACAAAGCAGAATATCTCTCCTCCTTCTCTTTGTTTCTTGAACATATTCATTGACATGAATTCAATCTGCAGACTCTCTGAGTTTAAAAATGCGAATATGGACACATTTAATACAAAATTCTGTGCAGCATTTAGGAAAAATCTGTCCTGTTATGTTCGATGGGCCTGTTCTTTGGGGTTACCATCCCAGTATGTTATCCTTTCCAGTGCAGAAGAAATGTTGTAAAGCAGTGCATAAACATGTGCAAATGGGGTTACGAGGACCCAGCGGAGCTGTAGACTCAGCAATTAATACAGATGTGCAATTAGGTCATGCAATTCTAGCCTTGTTCTGAATGCAGGGAACACTGAGGGGGCATAGATATTGAGAAAATAGATGTTAGAGAGATTTAACAATATCTTTTTTTCAGGCTTCCTTTCCAAGACAGTTTGTATCTTACCATTTTATCCTCGCATGTGATGATGGATAATTGTCGGAGAAAATATACATTCCACCACAATATTTTCTTTTGTAAAAAAATTATTTAAAATGTATTGTGCAAAGGTGTTATGCAGAATGTAAAAGACAAATAAATCAAATACACAAAATGCAAATACATCTGTCCACGAAACCCGCCCTCCTCCCCCCACCGTGAACCACCATCCATGAGTTCTGACACCTCTCAGTGTGAAACTAATATCTCATACAATCCTACCCTTATCTTTATATTAATAACTTCCCCTTGCAGTTATTTTGAATTCTATCTTTGTCTTCCTTTCTAAATATTCAAATGCAAGCCTCCATTTTCTAGCCAAATCTCCATTATTTCCTCCCCTAATGCCATTGGACAGCTTGGCCATTTGAATGTAGTCTAAATATTTTCCTCTCCAGTCCTTTATAAATAACTCTTGTTTCCCCTTCCATGATTTTTCTATTATTAATCTTCCAGCAACAAAACTGTATTTTTATGTCTTCTTTTTTTTTAAGACATAAATTTTTTTATGTCTTCTTTACTATTTTTTCACCAAATAAACCTAAGAGGTACATTTCTGGTTTTTTCTTAACCTTTTTAGTAATCATTTTGTTTGTTTCTTTTATTACCTTTTTCAAGAAAGTTTGTACCAACCTACAAGTCCACCAAGCATGGAATACCTTTCTGTATTTTGCATCTCCAACATTCGCTCAGTGGAATTTGTCTAATTTGCCTATCACCTCAGGAGTTATATAACTTCTATAGAATATTTTGTACATAGTTTCTCTGATTTTTTTTCTTGTCAGGAGCAACTTGAGAAACTGCAAGTCACTTCTGGTGTGAGAGAATTGGCCGTCTGCAAGGATGTTGCCCAGGGGATGCCCAGATGTTTGATATTTCACCATCCTGTGGGAGGCTTCTCTCATGTCCCCGGATGGGGAGCTAGAACTGGGACAGAAGCTCACCCCATTCTCCAGATTCGAACCGCCAACCTGTCGGTCGGCAGTCCTGCCAGCACAAGTGTTTCATTCCTTGTGCCACTAGGGGCTCCAGTTTCTCTGATAAACCCAGATATCAAAATTTTCAATAGTTTCTGTGATAAACCCAGCTATCAAAAATATAAAACCTCTTTTAAATTATCCCTTTTCCATAGATATTCCCATTTTTCCAAATCAATATTTTTCCCTATGTCTTTAGTCCATGAAATCGTCATTGTTTTTATTCGATTATTGGCTAAGTTGTATTCTAAAATGTATTTGTATAATCTGGAACTTCACACTATTTTCCACATACTTGAAAATCCCAAAGATTCTGAATAGAATAAAATGTGGGTTTTGAATAAACACCTTTTTATGCATGGGAACCATAGGGGTTTTTTAAAAACACAACTAAACTATTCTCTGTGCTGAGAATAGGTACCAGTAATTGCAAAAACAATTCCATGTATTTTTCTAAGTAGAATAATCTCTCCACAAGATATTTAAATCCAGGGAGAAATTTTTACACAATTCTTTTTGGTCTGTTATTCTTCTTAACAAAGTTTCCCAACTATTGGGAACCCATTTTTTAAACCCGGGACAAACAATAATTACATTTTTTTCCATAGCTAGTATCTTATATGATTACTTTCTGATATAGAAATATGCTAATGTTGTTTCTTTGTTTTTCCTATAGGGAAACTGAAGAAGAAAATCCTCCAGAGTTAAAATGAATACAGGTATGCATTATCTCTAGAAGCTTTGCATGCAGTTATTTTCTGTAATCTTTCCCACTAAATAAATTATTCAAGTGTGAAATATAACTATCTTAAATTACTTATATAGGATCATATGTGTACATGAATTTTCTGTCTGTATCTATTTAGGTATATCAATATGTATAAATATGAGCATTTATACATATGTATGTATGTATGTGCATTTCATTTCAATATATTTTCACATTTTCAGTAAAATATATTGAGGCACAATGCACACCTATGAATAATCTAACACAATGGCATAACTGAAGAGACTTTGTTTATGGTACAATTTCTGTTCTAAACTGATTCTCTTAATGCTTAACTGTGTTTCAAAATGGAACATTTAAAACAGTAATTCATAAATGCAATTTAAGATAGATGTGTATGTATTTTAAAATTTTATCTCTCTGGGACCTAAATTCACAAAAGTTTAACTATTACTGATTTTGTGCCCTTTAAAAAAAATGTCCATTTGTTTGGGAAATTTTAAGTACTTCAGTTCTTTCTCTGGGTGAATTTAATAGTATTATGATACAACTATCTATCTATCTATCACTATATAGCTATATGCCGGGATCCAAACGCCTTTAAGGAGCCAGACACAGGGAAAAGGTCCAAACAAAGTTTATTAAAGCAACAAAAAGGACTCGGGAACACTTAATTCAGTGTCCCTGGTCAAAACTGAAAGTCTCTAGCAAATTGCAATGTAAAAACTCAACTTGGCAAATAATCCGGATTAAACCGGTATATAATCCGGGATAAACAAAAGATTGAGCAAAACGCCCCAAAATCACAGAGTTCAAAGAATACAAGTAAACAAGGTGTAGAAAAACAAAGCCATCATCCAAAAGCAGTCCAATATTATAGGAAGTCCAGTAGAAGATGTTAAAGTCCAAAAAGCAGCAGCGGCGTCCACGCAATCCAAAGTCAAGAGGGGGAGAAGTCAACACTTATGAGATTCCAGTCCAGTCAAAACACGGAGGATGCAGCAACCTGTAGTTCCAGGATCCAACAAGAGAAACGGCAGCGACAAAGACCCAGGCACGAATCCAACACTTTGCCTTCTGTAAAGTTCCATTACCTCAGTGCCTACATTTATCTTACAACTCATTATCACTTGATGAACAATCCTCCAACCTCTCCTCATCACTGTCAGCTGCTTTAGCCTCTACAGCTGAGCACCAACACCCATCCCGCCAACTTTTCCATCTCTTATCAAGACTTAGGTCTCCCCATGTATCACCAGTTTGCCAATCGCCAGAAAACCCCTCAAAAGTATCGCTGGATGTAGGTTGTGTACACACATCTCTGACTTCTTGCACACGAGTCCAATCCAACCCATCCTCCTCCTCGTCACTACTCCCAGACCCATTACTTCCTGTGAAACCCATAAAATCCTCCTCTTCAGTAGAAGCAGTAAGTATGTCATGGATGCATTTCCTCTGATACTCCTCGTTAGACTCTTGCTCGCGAGTAGTCCCTTTTACACCCCTGCTTTCATCTCCTTCCTCCTCCATTTCATTTTCTGAAAAGCCCTCAAAAGAGTCTTCATCTGTAGGTGACATGAATATTTTCCTAATTCTCTTTCTTTGTTGTTCCTCATCCAAACTCTGGGCACCTCTCTTCCCTCCTCTGCTACTCTCTCCATTAGTTATAACGTTACCAGAAGACTCTACTACAACACACTATATATATATATATATATATATATATATATGTATGTATATATAAGATTGATAGAATAATGGAACAGTGTCAATAAAGAGACTATACTATTAGTCAAACTGTTGTTCAAAGAACAGGCTGCCAGTGCCTACTAGATGCTCGAAGACTTATACTATGTAGTGATAGAGTGATCTTCAGAGTGCATTCTAGAATATTGGTCCCATGGCCAATAAAACCTTCTTAATTGTCTTCCCTTCTTGACTTTTTGTTAGTCATAAATGTCTAAAATGCCAAAGCAGGAAACAGCAGAAGCTAAGATTGTAGTGAAATTTGGCTTAGGATCAAGAAATTAAACAGAGGAGCAACTGATTGAATTTTGTGAAGCCAACAGTTTGCTCATCACATAAACACATTCTTCAAGCAACGAAAGCGATGATTGTATACATGGACATCACCATATGGTCAATATAGAAATCAATTAGACTACATAATTTTAAACAGAAGATGAAGAAACTCCTTTCTCTCTTCAAAAGCTACATTGGGAGCAGATTGTAGCACAGTCCGTGAACTGCTGATATCAAAAATTAGAGTGGGGGGGGGGAGAACTCTAAACCAGTACAATGCCAAAATTCAACCTAGAGAATATCCCCATAAATTTAAAGATAATGTAGAAATATACTTGCAGTATTAAGCATAATAATCTGGGAGCTTGATGAATTCTGGTCTGAAAGCAGAGACATTGCTGAGAGAAATGCAAATAAAAAATTACCTGCAGCCAAAAAGGAAGATAAGTCTCAATAGATAACAGATWAAAATGTCAAGTCATTTCAGATAAACAAAAAGCAAAAGTAAAAGGTAACAAAATAGAGTCAGATGCTGTATGCAACTCTTCAGRGACTTTTATGCAAGGATCAAGAAGAACCATCATAATAATCAATGCAGAGAAATAGAAGTTACAACAAAAAGGCAACAACAAAAGAGACCTCTTTCACAAGATCCAAAATATCAAAGGGAAATTTGATATTTACCTGACCAGCAAAGGAACTCATGATATGACCTAACCGAAATAAAACTTTAATTGAAATAATATATAGGAAAAATATATAAAATAGATGAAAGGATGACAGATTAATTCAAGCAAGAATCATTTGAGGGTGAACCTATAATTTTAGAGAATGAAGTGGAAGCTGCACTCTGAGCACAAGAGATCATATTGCAGATGTGTGTTGGAGAACAGAATTCACAAAATACTTTCAGAACAAAATCAGCCTGTGCATTATAGTTTAGAGAAAAGGCTTTGATTATATAGCTCATGAAAAACTATAGATAGCTCTTGTGCCACAATATATGGTTCTCTTGATGCATAACCTGGTTTAAAAGAATAGTCAAATATATATACATGGGAGATCCACAAGTTCACATGGAAAGAATCACACCAGAATCAAAGGAATAAATTTGAAATGGTCTTAGTGCAATTAATTCTCCCTCCAGACTGCCTCTCTGCTCCCCCTCCCCATTTATGTGTCTCACACACATAATGAGAGACACAGAGAAGTATGGTTTCATGCATTAATGGAAGAGTGGCAACTATGCTGTATCTGTGATATAGGACTGTGCCAAATACTGTTGATTTCAGTGACATAGTTTAAGAATATCCATAAATCTTTCCCATCCAGACTGAAGTGACATATCTGTTTAGTCCATTTCCTTAAACTATTTTTGGAGTGACTAACTCTCCCATAATTAATGGAAATTCCAATATTAGAACTGTTTTGACTCCCTTACTGACTTTATTTTTCTCCCATATATTTCACTTGGGAAGTGGGGGGGAGGCCAGACTTCCAGCCCAAACTATGCCTCACAAAAAGAGATGCTCCAGTTTTACAAGTTTGGATAGTTCTCCTACTATATTTTTAACAGATACATATCTGCCAGGTATATAAAATGAGTGCCACCTCACTACAGATGGGAAGTAGTTCTGCCTTTGATTTCAGTGGAACTGAGTTGGCTTAAGTGTACTGTATACACTTCCACTTCAAATGGATTATAGACCAAGTTTCCCATATATCTATGTGCCTTCTAAGAAAACGGTACTTTCCCCCTACCTTCAAATGTATGAAGTAAGCATCGTTATTCACCACATAGCTCTAACAACAACATGCAAACTCACTTAACAGTCTTTTTTTTTGAGGGAGATAATGCATGGGTCAAAGTTAATTATCTTAAATGGATCCTTGGTGTCCTTTCATAAATATTTTAGGCAGAAATGTGAAAGGACAGTATGCTTGATAAATGCATCTAATTTAAAAATGATTAAATAAGCCAACTGCTCTATAATGAATGAAAGATGTAAATACAAGCCATAGTAAAAGCAGGCATAGATGTCAGAGGCTGCAAAAATCTATGAACCTTAACTTGGCTAATGCTAAATTACGAGAATGCAAACTCGGTGCAATTTATCTGATTTGTGTCTATAGCTAAGTTGGTAAAATAAGGCTATAACCTGAGTGAAACCTTATAATAATCTTTTTTGATAAGCATTTTCTAAGCTATCAGTGATATGCTCTCTCTGAGCTCATCTTTGGCTTAGTTAGCACTCCAAATTTCACCTAACCTTGAGGACACTAGACTTTCAAGGACTGAGTAATCAAATGAAGTAAGACACATATAGCTAAACCCAAAGCAAACAGTGGACCATGTGTGGCCCCGAACCCCCTTCTTGTAGACTCCACCCTGACATTACCAGATGCCCCTCAAGTAATACATATTTTTTTAAGTGAAAAACAGTTCCCCAAATTGAAAATAATCAAAAGTGCTCCTTTTATAGGTATACGGGAGCAATGAATTAGATGGAACACCACCCCCATTTTCTCCAGACAGTCCCCTAATTAAAACATCCAACTTACAAACAACTCATAGTTAAGAATTGGGGGGGGGGGGAGACAACAGGAAGTGAGAAAAATCTGCCTCTTGGAAGGGAAATTCACTCCTAAAGGAATTATCATGGCAAAAAGGTGTCATCACTGCAGCTTCATCACCAATCCTTGTTTCCATAACAACCCAATTTTATTTCCAAATCCATTAATCACTGAGACAGAAAGTGAAGTGTAATCTTCTAAACAGGGGTACAGACAGCAAAGCAAACACAACGGGGGTGTTAACCCTTCACCAAGGCTAGATATATATTGGTAGAGATATAGATGTATAGCTGGAATAACACTTAAAATGTGCCTGTTCCAACTTACATACAAATTCAATTTAAGAACAAACCTACAGAACCTATCTTGTTCGTAACTTTGGGACTGCCCATATATCCCAAAATGGCACCAAGGACCCAGTCATTGGAACTAGAAGGGATAGATTGCCATCTCTGGTCAATTTTCAGCCAAAAACAGACTGATGCAGCCTGACTTGTGAGATGGAGATTGTCCCCCATCTCCCTAAGGCCATCCTAAGATATTTATTGCCTGGACTAAAGGGCATGATACTGCTGTTACTCTTTCAACGTAGAACCATTACTGTTTTTCGTCAAACAGCAAAGGGACAAGGAGAGATTGTGTGAATACCAACAGTTATTAAGTAGAAGGCAATGGCATAATTAGGTACCTGTGTCTAGAGGCAGTTGTCTATTAATCTCCCAGCCACTCCTTGACAGTTTTGTTGCTTTCAATCTTCCTTCTTGATAACTAGGAGTGTCCTTCAGCATTGATGTTTTCCTGACCTTGAACTGGCTACAATTTACAAATCAATTTTATTTTTTGCTGGCTTTGCTTATCTGGACTGCTGACTTGCTGAAGAACGTCTGAACCATCTGACAACCACTCTACTGTTTTTCTTTTTGTCCTGCTGCATACCCTGTGACAGACCCACATTAAATGAACTCCTCTTTTGACAAGAACACAGGACGACAAATCTGCATCTTATACTGTCCTTTGCCTCCCAGAAGAAATAACCAGAAATTATCTTTTTGGCCACCCAGGGCATTGACTTATTTGTTTAGAGAAACATATAAAGAAACCACTGCCAGTGGTTAAAAATGAAAATTGTTAAGGAGCAAACTAACTTTGCTGACTCTTCATCATTTAATGCACTGTTATTGTGCCACTCAACATATATTTTCCATCTTTTCATGACAGAGTAATCTCCTAGCCTGACCATTCTCAATTGATACACTCTTTAAACAATTTGCTGACTTTAACCCAGATTACACTGAACAATTAAAATTTAGATTTTATAGGTAAATTTGGTTACCATTATTTCAAGCCTTTAATCTAGCCCCTAATTTCTCCAATTTCATTTATAATTTTTTTAGCAATTGTTTTCTTAAATTATTGGCAATTCCATGGTATTAATTTTCATTTAAGTAACTGAAAAGCAACATTAGACTTCATTGGTTCCAAATTATAGGATCGGGAATTTTACCCTCATTGTACTATGAATAAATCAGGGGTAAAAATCAATTTTTCCACTGCATTTCCAGGCTACACTGTGTTAATCACTTTTGGGCCAGACATAGCTAGAAATAGCCTATATTGTGGCTTTTGTGTAATTTTAGGGCACTAAGGGTGATATCTTTGGTTTTTCTACATAATCTGTGATGTCTGAAGATCTCAAAGAGTGGGAGATGTTATTATTTTAATGGGTTTGTTTATTTTTCACCTGAATTTTGGGAAGAGGGATCCAAGGGCTTTGGAGAACAAAAGGGAGATTTGGGGCCACTTGATGCCCTGTGGGCTTCATCAGCCCTATTACAAATAAACTGTACATGCTCTCTTCTACTTTGCCAAGTTGTTAGGATTAGGGTCAAGTGGGTCTGTGCTGTATTTTCCTCACAGTGCCATTTTTATATTGAAAAGATAATGTATTAATTTAAATTTTCCATTCTAGTCTTTTTGTGGTGAGTTAGGTATACACATATGATCTTTACAATACTGGAAAGCATACAATAAGTCTCATATTCTTTGGAATGACAGTATTAACTACAGCTTCCACAGCCTTTCGGTATGTATGTAAAAACCCCTAAGGATAAAAACAGCAATGCCTAACTGCATGAATATATGTCGACATTTACCTACTTACCTGAGTCCACTTGCTGTGCTGCATGTGCTTGCTCTCTATGTTGTCGCCCTGTGTCTGTGTCATTTTGTGCTTTCAGATAGTGGTGGGTGCGCTCGCAAACGTGCTGCCATGTCTGTCAAATTAACAGCTGTGAAGAGAGTTCAGAGTTCTCCAAACCTATTGACTGCAGGTATAACTATTAACCATGGGGATACTACGCTTGAATGCCATTGTGTTACTGTTCTGTGTTAGAACTGAATATTACAGAAGATCGCCAAGGTATCTCCAGCTCTTCATGCCTCTTGCAACTCTTCCACCAGTGCTAAAAGATGTCATTTTATGGTATATGTCTGTTGATGTAACTTCAAACTAAACATGATGTGAACCAGAACACACCCTCAGAACTTATTCTCTAATGTAAAGGTGTTTTTATTGGCTATTTGGGAAGAAATTGTGCAATCTCAAAAGTTGCCCAGTTTCTTCCTTGACGGTCTTACCATATTTCAGCATTTGGAATTTGCTACTCATTCTTACTGTTGGAACTAGAGGGGAAGCTGACCCATTGTACAACAATACAGACATAGTTGGTGGTTTCCATGAATCATTGTAGATATTCCTGTACTTCAGAAGGAACATACTCACTCACAGCAAGAGTGATAAACCCACAGCTGAGTGAGTGAGTGCCCAGAGCTTCCAGTGTTGTAGCTGAGGACTAAGAGATATGTGATTCCTTACTCTTTGTGCATCTGAGTCGAAGGGATGTCATGGGAGCAGAGACCCTGCCATCATGATGCATCATTGCCATTGGTAATATATGAACTTGACCCATGAGAGCAGCAATATTATAAGAACCACAGTAGTTTAAGGAGAAACATAACAGTATAAGACTGAAGACACAACTAAAGAAAACAGAACATAGTTGTTTCTATCCTGTATTTTATTACTGCTTGGGGAAAAAACAAACAGCTATCAACCTTGGGGGAGGGAAGAGAGAAAACTATGCTCTCCATAACATTCTCCATAGAACAACAATGCAAATAGCTCATTATACTTACTTGTGAAATGTCTAAGTAGTTGACTACATTTTTATAGTAAGTACTAGCTTTCATACTCCGTCCTGAAATTGAAACCAGTGCTGTTTTTGTCAGGGAGCCCTTTACAGTGTTAAGTTTAAAAGTCTTCAATTTGGCAATTAGAAAGCATCAGCTAGATTTCAGAAATGAAGACAAGTTTGTTTTCATCCTCGACTAAGTTTTGCCATAACAAGTGTTAAACTAGAAAATACATCCCTCTGATTTAAATAGTTAAAAGTACCAATTTGGTAGAAGTATTCTCTTTCTTAAAGGTTGATGGCATTTTGTTCTTAACAATAAAAAAAATCCAAGCATTATTTTTTAAAAAATAATTTGCATTTAATACTAGCCTGTGAACACAAAACTATCCCACTTTTTGCTTTACACAGACATACTTGTTTCCATAATAGGATTTAGAGGCTTGAATATAGCCAAATAGAAGCCATATAGAGAGCTCATTATCCCATGAAAAAATCCTGAGAATCCGAGATCTAAGAGTGCTTAGTTGAGCATTGACAGTTGTGCCTGACTTGGGAGCCCAGGAAACCAGGAGGCAACAAGAGGGCCTCCAAACAGATACATGCTATCTGATGAATGTCAAGAAACCCTCAAACCCTCAGTATAAAGAAATGGAGTGGAAAGCTACCCCTGTTTAAGCTCCACCGTGGGCCTCCACCCTTCTAAATCCGGCACACATTCCCTCAAATGGAGCAAAAATCTTTCCCCAAAGTGGCATAGAAACAGAAACTCTTCCACCAACTGAAACGTTTGAAAAGCAACAGCAAATAAATGAAAATAAAAAGCGGAAGTCTCTTTGGAGGCAACTGCAGCCTGCTAAAATGTATTTATCATTTATTTACGATATTTATATCCTTCCCTTCTCATCCCAAAAGGGACTCTGAGCGGCCTTACAATGGGCAGCAATTCGATGCCATATCAGCAGACAATAAAATAAGCATATACATTGAGACAAAACTTAAAAGCAATATAAACATTAAAACATTATTAAAATCACGCCATCCGAGGACATAGTCAAAAGCCTTTCTGGTTGTTATTGCACTTAATGACTACTAGCTAGCCTTAGACTATGATTTTGGATGGTGCAATTTAAATACTGAATGTAATTTTAAATGTTTAATATGCATTAATTTTAATTCAGTTGATTTTAAGTACTGTTTGTATATGTTAAGGCACTGAATAATTGCCATACGTAAGCCACCTTGACTCCCCCTTGGGGTAGAGAAAGGCAGGGTCTAAATACGGTAAATAAATAAAACAAATAATTCCACTTCATTTATTGCACTGCACTATTGGCCAAAGGCTTGATCTCAGAGCCAAGTTTTTACTTTCTTTCTGAAGGTTGGGAGGGAGAGGGCTGACCTGATTTTGCTAGATAGGGAGTTCCATAGCTGAAGGGCCACCGCTGAGAAGGCCCTGTCCATTGTTCCCACCAATCACACCTGCAAAGTAGGTGGGACTGAGAGCAGGGCCACCCTAGATGATCTTAATCTCCAAGATGATTCATAGAGGGAGATACATTTGGACAGTTAAGCTGGGCCAGAAATTGATCCTGCATCCTCTATAGTTATGTGTATATACATGGATGAATTAATACATCTTTCCATAACATCAATCAACATTGATCCCAGTATCTTTCCATCTCATAACTGTTATACCGTTGACTTTGAAATTAAGACAAACTCATTAGGAAAAAAAGTCTCTGTTTATATTTTTATATCAATGGCAATACTTTGTCATTTGTCAATTTTACAAAACTGTACTGTGCATAAAAACGGAAGCAAAGCATCCTTTACCGTTATGCTCTTTCTGATAGAGCAGTGGCTGCTCTGAAACAAAATGCATCAGAGTAACAGTAACCCTGAAGGTTTGTCTTCAGAAACTATAATGGTGCCATGAGTATTGATTTACCTTTGTTGCAATCTCCTGAACTGGACATAAGTGGCAGAAGCGGAAATGCGCTTCCAGTTAATCAATGTATATCGTACAGCTATTTTCTAAGCAGATATCAGGACATTTGCAGAGGACAAATTTGTTTCTACATCATGGAAATGTGTTCTTTTCAATATATAGCAATTTCCATTTAGATGTTTTAAAAGAGATTAATTGCTATGGCTAAAATGATTCTTTTAAAATTGCCTGCCAATGTGTCTGCAAGGCATCTTTGCATAATTAATAAAAGGCAGGGTTTTAAATCAATTTCTCTGAGGACAAATGCCATGGTAGATTTCCATCTATTGTCTGTGACTGTCAATAAGTGAGGTTGCTGATGGCAGATACCTTGCCTCTTGGATTATTCCATTTTTTTCACTATACTCCAAAATCTGCTTCCAGAACTGGACACAATACCTTAGATGAGGTTTGACCTGGGGTCCATTGACAGTACCCATTTATAACACCATTATTCCACTTTACCAAATGTAACTCCATCCTATGAAATTCTTAAATGGCAATTTAAGGAGAGGCATCCTGAATTCTCAGTCAGAAAATCATATTGTCTCACTAGCTAAACTCTATGTTGCCATAGGATGGAACCTTTGCTGTTAAAGTAGAACAATAGCACTATTGCTGTGTCGTGTGACTGGTCCCCAGGACAGAATACAACTGTACTGTTTGATTTGAATGCTAGAACCGCAGTGGCTTTTTAAATGTCACATAACACCTTGAAAAGCTCCTTTAAAGTTTGGACTAGAAGCAGGAAGGGGTTCATCCCCACACTGTAATATCAGCAATATCAGCAGCCATCCCCATCTGCTTCTCCTGTTCTACAGAAGAGAGTGGAGGCATATATTGCCATTTTAAAGCTTTGTTATTTGTTTTGTTATGTGCTTTGTTATTATGTCTGACAAGGATAAATTGTTGAAACAATCCAGACTGAACTATAATTTATGTTGTTGGATTATGGTTAGTTTAAACCATATTTAAACTAACCATATTTTGCCCTTCTTGGGTACAGCAGTAAAGTATATTGAGTTGCTGTGAGCTTTCTGGGCTGTACGGCCATGTTCCAGAAGCATTCTCTCCTAACATTTCGCCCACATCTATGGCAGGCATCCTCAGAAGGTCTGTTGGATACTAGGAAAGTGGAATTTATATATCTGTGTAATGTCCAGGGTGGGAGAAAGAACACTCTTGTCTGTTGGAGACAAGTGTGAATGTTGCAATTAGCCACCTTGATTAGCATTGAATGGCCTTGTAGCTTCAAAGCCTGGTGGTTGTTGCAGTGGTCCAGCATTTCTGCGTTCTCAAATAACATTATATGTCCAGATTGGTTCATCGGGTGCTCTGTTATGGCTGACTTCTCTGGTTGAATTAGTCTGCAGTGCCTTTCATGTTCCTTGATTCGTATTTGGGCAATGCTGCGTTTGATGGTCCCTATATAGCCTTGCCCACAGCTGCATGGTCCTCTTGTCCTTTGCTGAACATAGAATTTATTGCACTCTGTAGCACTCTAATATCCACCATGTCAGACTACACAAAGAAACCACTGAAATCCACAAGCATGTGGACAATTTCAACAGAAAGGAGGAAACCATGAAAATGAACAAAATCTGGCTACCAGTATTTAAAAACTCTAAAATCAGGGCAGGAAATAAAAAGCAACCCTCAAAAATGGGGGAATTCCAGACAAGAATCAATCAGGGCCAACGAACACCTCCTAACAAAGGATCCCCCCAGGTAGAAACCAGCCAGACTTTGAAGCTGCAAGGCTGTTCAGTGCTAATCAAGGTGGCCAATTGCATCAGTCACACCTGAGTTCTTTCTCCCACCCTGGACATTCCACAGATATATAAGCCTCACTTGCCCAGTTTGCAACAGACCTCACAAGCTCTGAGGATGCCTGCCATAGATGTAGGCGAAACATCAGGAGAGAATGCTTCTGGAACATACAGCCCATACAGCCCAGAAAACTCACGGCAACCCAGTGATTCCAGCCATGAAAGCCTTCGACAACACAAAGTATACTGGGTGTGAAACTGGGTGCTTGTAATCTCCACACACTGAACCACAGGAAGGGAGGAGCACATGAGACCGAATTTGTCCGATCATGCTAAATAATCTTGCAGTATTGTGTCTAGCTCAAATTCATATAATGTTGGAATAAGAGGTGAAGCAACAGTAATGATTCACTGATATTTGGTGCTAGATACTTTAAAATTCCCATAATTATTTAGAGGGGGGTTTGGTCAAGCAAAGAACACAGCACCATCTTTTCAGAGCCTATGTTTATCTGTTTTAAAACAAATTATGTTGATTTCAGTGGAACCTACTGATAAATGAGAGTGTTTAAAATTATAGCCTTTAGGAGAAAGAACTACAAACACTGTTGTAGCAGCACCGTTAATTTCAAAGTATGTGTGCATCAATGAGTTTCATATAAATTGCTCTGAGGGCCCTAGTGGACAGAAAAGCAATATTGAATTAATTAATTAGTGAATTACACTGAAACTCAAAGATACAGAAACACACTTAGTCAGAATTCTACACATTAACATCAGTATTTTCTTTCTCTAGGACTTGATTCTCAGTCACCAGATTCAGGTAAATATGATTTCCCTTCACAGTTTTAATAATAGTATTGCTTGTGAGTGGACTGAACAAGGCATGCTTTTACCTGATACTGTTTTTCTGCATAAACTACTAATTTGGGGATCATGAACTAGAGACATTTGTTAGTATGATCTAAGACTTTCTACTAATTCTTTTGGATTTTATATAGAATCATAAAGTTGGAAGATAAAGTTCTTACAATTAGCATGACTAATTTTATGTAGGCATTGTGCAAGTTTTTTTAAAGAATGACACCCTGTCTAGAAACATCTCATCTTACACAGTGCAGCAGGGACAAAGAGAAGAAAAGGAAACAAGCAAATCCAGGAATTATTTTTTCTCAAAAATTGCAAAAATGCTTAATGACCCCTGAGAAACACAATGTTCTAACAAAATAAGGATCCAAATGGCAGTCTACCTAAGGACCTCCTCACACACGCTGCTGGAATTGCAGCAGATTGTGATGATCGTGGAGGCGTCCACCCAGGAAGCATAGGCACCTATCACCCTATGCCTCACACTGTCCTGGTTCCCCCCCCCCCTACTTTATCACACAAGGGGAAGTGTCAGGAAGCCAGCTCGAGATGTTGATTTGTATTGAAAGACAGAAAGCCACCCACTATGTGCCATCGGCAATTTTTCAGCAGCAACAGGGTTTTTGAGACAGTTTCGCCACTGAGCTGTCACAGTGGTCCTTTTCTGTTGTGTGATGGGAGCCAGCAGGCTACAAAAAAACTATCACAGCCACTGAATTTGGGCCTGTGTGAAGAGGTTCCTAGACTATGTTGTCCTAGACCAGTGGTTCTCAACCTGTGGATCCCCAGGTGTTTTGGCCTTCAACTACAAGAAATCCCAGCCAGTTTAACACCTGCTAGGATTTCTGGGAGTTGAAGGCCAAAACATCTGGGGACCCACAGGTTGAGAAGCTCTGTCCTAGACAATGTAGTCCAACTGTTTTTTCCTCCTCCTCTTTCTCTTGCTAGTATGAATATACTCTCTCTCTCTCTCTCTCTCTATATATATATATATATATATATATTCATTCAAAAGGGTGTGTGTGTATGTATGTGTAGTATATATATATATATATATATATATATATATATATATATATATATCCTTTTGAATTTTTTGTATGTGGTATAGATTCAGGTCACCTCATTAAAAAACCCTACAACTCATTCAACTGTTACATAATCAAACCACAACTCTTTTATCGGAAATAAATTTGCTTGGATCTCTTTTCATATAAAAGCTTGGAGATCATTTAACAGTGGAAGTAGAGAGACACTGAACGGAGACACTAGCAGCTCCTCTCTTGCAGCCAAAGGCTTTCGAAGTGTCCGGCCAAATCTACAAGAAAAGAAATCACCAACTCAGGTAAAGTGACAGAAATGTATATGCACACACTTTTCAGTTTATATAAAGTTCTGAAGTTCAGTACAGTGATTTCAGAAATAAGCAAGGGCAATTTCCTTCAAATGGTTGTTTTCTGGATGTTTTCCTAACCTTGCTTGTATCTGGCTGTGATATTATCTCTGTTTTGGCAATAGATGAAAAGGTTATATTGGTCTGAAACTGCAGCTACTGGTTTGTTCATGCACTAAAATTTCTGTCAGGGAGTAAAACAAGGACTGTGAAGTGCCCATGAGGTTTAAAATATTATGCCTGATGAGGTGACATATGGCATTATTTTTCCAAACATTTTAGCTTCAACCCCTTCACACATCAAAATATCCATTGTGTATTCTTAAATGTTTTTTCAAAAGCTGATCTTTTATGTTATGCTTTGTTAGAGATAGTCTAGCAGGACTTCATACCAAAATTTTTCACTTTGGCTTCATTTGGAAACATTTACACATTACCATCTGAAATGCTTCTTTTCCTCTCCTTTTTCCTATTAGTGTAAATCAGGGGGTGTACATCAATTCTAATCAGCATCCTGTTGGACACAACAATCTATATTGTGCATGATCAAACTTTTTTTTCAACCCTGCAATTTGAAGACCAATAAGACCATTCAAAGACATAAAATGCTTTGTATTAATAAGTTCTTGTTGTTCTTACTACGAAACCATTACATTACTATGTAATGGTTTCGTATGGTATAAACGAACACAGTAGGGGTGCACAACCCATGGCCCAAAGACTATGTGCAGCCCCCATATTAATGGGTTTGCTGATTTTGCATTACAGAAGTAACAGTCACCAGTGACCTTCATTGGTGACCTGCCAACCAGTAAAGTCACTGAAAAAGGTTTGCACCCCTTCTGTACACTCTTACCTGGGAGAAATCCCATTAAATGCAAGAGTGCTTGTTTGTGAATCTAACAGCATTGCACTGCCAGTAAATGTGTGCTGATTTTACAAATGTCAGAATAAAATGTTTCCATTTGGAGTGTTGATTACTTGGCTTGCTTTTTTTATTGGTACCGCTATTTAAATGACATGTCATAACTCAAGTTTATTTTCCTGCTAATTTTTTGCTTTCTCTCTTTCTCCTGTAATATTATTTATTTATTGTGTGGATGCTTTTGGCAAATAAGGCACCCCCATTACCTCCTAGGAAGGACAGTTTGGTTCGATCAGAGAAAATTAACCATAAGAAGAGTGAAAGTAACTCCTGGTCTCTAACAACCAAACAAACTAAGAAAGCTCCTTCTGATACTGACCACTGTACTAACAAGGAGTTCCTACGAAGGACAGCTTATTCTAAAAAATCTAATACCAGTGTGTCTTACACACACAAAATCACAAAACCATTGGCCTTGGTTTCCAGCACAAAAACAATAGCTGGCATTCGAGCTACTGTTCGTCAAGGCTACAAACAGTTCCCAAAGCGTAGAGTATCTGCCTTGAAGTTAACTCGGGCACGCAACACAGTTAGCACTCTTCCTTCTCATATGCAGCAACAGCCTTTGCCTGTTGACTCAGCAGCGGCTCCTCAGAGGCCTGCCTCACCTGCCTGTAACCCTGGGCCTGAGACACACAAAGCCTCTCTCTCCATTCAGATAGCTCCCATCCCTGATAATAAGGTAGAGCCTGAGAGCCAACAACATCCACCTAGGTTTTCTCCAGACCCTTCAAAGACGCCTCCAAACAATATGCAACCCATGTCTACAGTTGCTTCTGCACAGCCTGCAGAGTACAATGTGGTATATTACATTTTTCTCCCTGTTTTATTTTAGATCTTTCCTGTGTCACCTAACTTGTTTCTCTTTAGTATACTTACCTGCCTCTGACTAGTGACTGCAGTTCCTGGGTAAAACTACCTGTCAACATATCAAAAAAACAATGTGGCATTATTTATTTATTTATTTATTTATTTTTGACTGTTTTGAAATATGATTCTGGCCCACGTATTTACATATGGTGAGAGTAGATAAAGGAATGTGCAATTTGGATGCTTTCTTGTTTGCAACTTAAAATCTATTGAGGCATTCCAACTAGTCTGTATAGATATGTGAGAAGGGTTTTCTCGCTGTGTTCTTGTTCTTTTTATGTAGAACATGACAGTGTGAAATTGAGACATTCAGCAACACATGGAGGTACTCAATATGATTGTGAACCATGCATTTCCAAAATGCACAATCATTTAAGAACCTCCAAAGATAAGGATGTCTCTTTGCAATGATGATTTATAGATCATCATGTAAGCAGAGTGACATTAGAGAGGGATGGGGCTACAGCAGCCACTTACACTGTTCCTTGCACATTTACCCAAACTAATTAGAATACCAGAACAAGGATCTAGAAACTTGTAAAGTTGTATCCTTGCAGGGAAGACATCCCACTGAATACCACACAATGCTTTTCTAGAATAAGCACCATGTGTTTAACTTCTGTGCATATGTGCATTAGTGCCTCTTGGTAATATTAGACATTGGACTGGTTGGTGTTATGGGGCCCTGCCTTTAGATGGCCATGTTAATTATTTCAGCTGTAATTGCACAATTAACATATTTTCCTTCCATGCTTTACAGATGATTCTGTTTGTCTGATATGCTAGGATAGAAACTGTTTGCTAGTCTCAGCTTAAAAAAAACAACACTTTAGTGTGTGCATTTTAAGCGTATAGCATATTTTAATCTTACTATAGAAATCTGAGTCTTGATTGAGGTGCGACACCCCAAAACATTTGAGAGTAGTACAAGTGAGCCTTTAGCACAGAAGAGAATTGTGTAGTGCCTGTGGATGCAATGGGTATTTTACTCCCCAAAAGGGCTACTGTCTGTCTTGCTGTATATCAGTGGTTCTCAACCTGTGGATCCCCAGATGTTTTGGCCTACAACTTTCAGAAATCCCAGCCAGTTTACCAGCTGTTAGCATTTCTGGGGGTTGAAGGGCAAAACATCTGGGGACCCACAGGTTGAGAACCACTGCTGTAGATGGACCTCTATAACAAAAGGAGATTCATAGAGGTCCAACATGTGGTTGAAGGAGGAGAGAAAGAAAGAAAGTGTATCGTATATTGAATATTCCAGCAATTAGACAAAGAATCTCTAGAGTATACAGAAGCAATCTTTCTACCTTCTACGCCAAGAATGAAGACAGTGACAATATTCTTTCTTTTTCCAGTTTCTTTCAGAAAATTGTGAAGTTCATGTTCTGTTTAGGAAACTGATGTTCTCTTATTTTCTAAGGTGCCAAGCAGGGAAGAATAGTATAGTGCAGCCACTCTAAAATGTTGTCTACATCACACTAGAGAAAAAATTCACTTAAAATCCGGTACTGCCTCCTTCAGAATTCTGGAGTTTGTAGTTTAGTGAGGTTGGTAAAGGCTCCTCCCTAAACTACAAACCCAGAATTCTACAGGAAACAGAAATCGGGTTTTAAGTGGACTTTTTCTCTAGTGTGATGAGGCTCCATTATGTTTTTGTGTCTATGTTGGAGCTGTGCCATAATGTTCTTAATCAAGTAGAATTATCCCAATTCACAATACAGAAAACCACAGTATAGGCATCCCTATTTCCAATATAGGGCTCTTCCAACAAGCCCTATATCCCAGGATCTGATCCTAGGTTTTCTGTTTTAAACTGGATTATATGAGTCCACACTTCTAGATAATCTGAGATAAATAGAAAACTTGGGATCAGATCCTGGGATATAGGGCCTGTCTGGAAAGGCCCCTAGAGAACCCAAGCCCAAGAAACTTTCAGCATCTCTATAGCTCGAGTAACATTTGGGAAAGCTGCAGAGGAGGCTGCCATGAAAATGAGGGTGAAGTAACTTTCCTTCAGTAATGGACTCACTTGCTCATCACAGTATCCAAACCAGGGCTCTATCATGATTACAGGAATGAAATGGAGTTTTGTGCTGCTCTTGCTAATGTATTTTTGCAAGCATAGGTACCATTTTGGTAGAAAAGGGGGATAATAGATTTTAAAATATTCATGGGAAAGAGTGCTAACACACTTGTAACCATGTATATGGCTGCACCTCAGCTAGAAGATGTTAGTAAAAGAAGAAATAAGTGATTCTCCAGTAAACAATATCTGTCATGGTGTTTCCTGCATGCTCATGGCAGCCCAGCTCCTGATAGTAGGCATGTTTGTTCCTCGGCCCCTAATCTGCTGTTCCCTGTTTGGTCATAGTCAGGAGATTAAGCTTTGGTCCTTGTTATATGTAGCACTGTATACATAGAACATTTTCAGTTCTCTTCTTCCTGCCCCACAAACCCTGAAAAGGTAGAGGAGATTCCAGCCTTGCATGCGTGTGTGTATGAGGAGCTACTGCAATAGGAAAATTTCTACTACTCATAGAAAGTTATGTTTGTCCCCTTGGACTCCACACTCTGCACTTCCATTTTGCTATGTGCTATTGAAGACTGTGGTTTGTGCTCCCACTAGCACAGGGGGAGGCTGGACTTCACTTGTGATTACAGGAGACACAAAATGAGACCTGCTTTCCCACATGTTTTCCATGATGCCCAGAGCTGTGTTTAGGCTTCCGCAGAACTTTTTAAAGATAGGAAAATGGATTTATAATTTATGGTGAAGCTTTGATTTCTAGGAGTTAATTGCAACTTCAGTTGATGTTTAATTGGAGGTCATTCTAGTGATAGGAAATTTACTTTATAAATTATACTTCCCAGAATCTCTCAACCAACATGATCATTGCTGGCTATACGATCTTGAGGATTTGGGCAGTTATAGTTCAAAAAGCCCCATTTCTCCATGAAGTCCAGAAACAGGATCATTCAACATGTCCAGACATTATGTTGTGTTTTCTAAGTACCGGTATTATTATTTTATCCCCTCTTATCATATATTGTAGTATTTTACAAAGTGCAAACAGAAGCCTAATGTGAGTCATAGAGAAGCATTTAATAGTGAACCCAATTCAGAAAGAAAATCTTCAGGTTGAATGCAATATTGAAAGAGATTTTAGCAATAGTTTTATTACTTTTCCCCTGACCTAATGACGTAAAAGATGCAACTGCTTGATTTAGTTGATGTGGAGAACTCAGTGTTTAATGTTTATGACCTAAGCAATGTAATGATCTCACAATGTTAGGAGAATTAATGAAGTAAGATTTGTAATAAATTGTTTTGCACAAGATGCTGCAGGGAAATGAAATAATTTTACCACTATTTCACTGCCTGTTCTATGGTTGCTTTTTTCACTCTAGAAAATATATTAGCCATTTGTGTTATTATTTTTCTCAACTCCACTTTAATAAAAAATATAAAGACCTGAATCCTCCCCACCAAAAAGCAACATAACTAACTTATGGACTATAACTCCCAGAATATTGGAGCTACCCAGCATAGCCAGTGGTAATATTAATTTGGGGGTTCTGGGAGTTACAATCCAAACTCTTAGGGCTCTTCCACACAGGGTTAAAACCTGCAAGGGAAATGAGTTTAAAAAACACACGTCAGCATAGGTTTTAGTCCCCACAAGTTGCTCAAAATCTGGACTTTCCCGGGGTGGGTGGCTACATGTCATCCCAATAACAATCGGAATGGCATGCAGCCACGCTGAAGCCTCCCAAAACAACCCTTAAAAGTAAAAAAATACCCTTACTTGGCTGCCATTAATATCCTCCTTGCACCCTCCTGGTTGTGAAGAAATGACATCCTGGGAGACAGGGTGTGAAAAGGAAAATCCCTCCTTGGCCCCTCATCTCCTGACGCCTCGTTTCATCATGCCAGGGGGATGCAAGGAGGACCTCAATGGAAACCAGGTTTTTTTTTTACTTTTTTTTTACCCCATTAGACGTAGGACTTTCAGGAAGGCCCAGATTGAATGAGGTATTTAATTAAATCAGAATTACTGAGGTTATTCTGAATTAATTTGTTTTACGAGGGGCGTCATTTGGATGTCCCAGATAAAAACCCAGACAGGTCCCATGTTTTGAGCCTGTCTAGATGGGCCCTTAATCTGCCTGAGAAAGTAGGGAGTTTAAAAATGATATTTCTAGAAATATAGCCTTAACTCAACATGACAAACCATTTTTGAATTGAAGTCAGTTTTTCGGTAGTTTGTATAACATGACAAGGGAATCTATTATTCAAAGACAGTGAAGATGCTTAGAGAGATAGATGTAACCCAACTTAAGTGCCAGTTGCAGAGATACTTTTACATAAGCTAGACTAGAGGATATTTATTTGTATAGCAATTTATGCTGGGCATTTTTATTGTGCTCTGTTTGGAGGAACAGCAGTGAGTCAAAATGCCACTTCTTATAGTCTCCAAAACTCATTGAAAAAGCAAGTAGGCATATTTTTCCTTTTAACTCCTGAGGCTTTGTATTTTGGTTAAGAGCTACTTTTAATAATCTCTAAATGTTGCCAGTTTTTACAAGAAACATTCCTTTTGGAAATGTCAATGAAACATATGGTTTTGCTAGAAGAAAGAGTTTAAATCCATTGGAAATTCATTGTGTTAAAATGAATGCACTTAAGTTTGCTTAAGTGTCTGTATGTAAATAAGGTCAAGGAGAAAAACACCTGTAGTGAGGGATTATGGTAGCTGAAGTCCAAAAATATTGGGAGAACCATAGGTGTCCACTGTGAATTGCAATATTTATTGGATATGTATTAGTCAAAATAAGGTAAAGTGTTGTTAATTATTATATGTATAGTATGCATATTATAGTAACTGTTCTGTTGGGAAGGGGTACAAACAGGAAGTGATTGATGATTGGCTG